CAACGTTAATAGATCAATTTCACAGCAGGTTTTCTTTGGTTATTTCATTTCTAAATAATTTAATATGATTTGGTTCTGATAACTTTTTTATATACCTGAATTTATTATTAATTAAGTATCTAATAATCAGTTGATATATAGTAATCTGACTTCTAGAGCTAAACATATTGTAGTTTTGGCCCGAGACGTACATGTCATGTTTGACTCTAGCATCTGGTAGTCTTTTTTTTTCCCCCAAAATATATTCAAGCACAGAGTAGAACTGGGTATTATTTTGGTAGATAGTTCAGTTTTAGAATATTGTAGGCATCTATATAGCCTGAATATTTCTTTCATATAGTGGTGTTATTGTCTGAGATCTGCCAGGTCAACTAAGGGCGCGTTTCGGAGGGCTTCTCCGTGCGTTCTCCGTTCTGTGTAGGCATCTATATAGTTTGAACAACACAAGTCTGGTTTGGTAGAATATATAGCAAAAAAAGCAACCCTGCATATATATAAGTTTACGATTTGTTGGTCATCATCGTCAGAGGTAAATAAATAAAGAAATAAATAGTAAAATAAAGAAAGAAAACACATTGGCCGGGCGAAACGATGTGTGCCTATCTAGTCACGTCACACGATCCATGCATCATCAGCGAGGTTTGCCCTTTGGCCCCTTTAGGCACGTTTTGTAGCACGAACTCCAGTTTGCCAGGTCCTTGCATTGTTTACATTGATTCGGAGATTTTTTACAATCGGACTCGCACATGCCATCAACTGCGAGTTGGCAGTTTTCTTTGCATTCCTTCTCCGACGCCGCTACGGTTGGGCGGCCAATGCACCGCACCATCACCTACTTTTGCCTACAGTTATGTGTTGGTAAAATCAGGCTTTTGACAACACATAATGTGTCGGCAATTCTATTCCATTTTAGGGTCACATAAACTGTCGCCAGTCATGACGTAAGGCTACACGTTTTGTGTCGTCGTTTGTCCTTCCCATCCAAAAAGTGTGGCGAAAGTTTTAAGACAAAGAAACAATCGTCATGGCCTAAACAAACGACTGTCGAAGTGTCGTCGAAGGGGTATGCGCCGAACCAAATAGAAATGCCAGTGTTGGGCGGGAGACCGCGCGCCAAAACAGAGGTCCGTGCGGGAGCTAAAATGTTGAGCCCACTAAAGAAACAGGCTGCCTCAGAACCCATCCCCATTCGTCTCTCCCACTCACGTGACTCGAAAATAAAACTTCGCGTAGCCAGCAGACACCGACGCCGCGCGCAGCCAGCAGGGCTCCGACGCTGGGCGCCGCCAGGAGGGTTCTGCCGCTGGCCAACGCCAGGAGGGCTCCACCGTCAGGCGCCGTCAGGAGCCGCTGCCAGAGGCCAGCACCTGGCACGGTCGCCGCTCTGACGCCCGCCCTGACCGCCGCCAAAGACCCCGGCCAGAGCCCCGCCGCCTCCCGCCCTAGGTCCCCACCGCCAAATCCAACGCTCGCCGAAGCCCCAGACCCCCACCACCTCAGCCCGCCGCCGCCCAAGCTAGCCGTCACCCTAGCCCACCGCCGCCGCCCAGCAGGAGCGGTGCCGCCGCCGCATCCCCATTCCCCTCCGCATCTAGGTGCGTTATCTCCTCATCCCCTTCTTCTCATTCCCATTCCCCTGCGTGCTAGGTTTCGGCACAACTTACTTTCTTGTATTTTTTTCTTGGTTGCAGAAAGGAGTAGACGAAGGTGAGAAAGACTACAAAGATTCAAGCTTTGGGTTAGTTCTCTTGCCAAACTTTCATTCAATCCAGATCCGCTCTCTTCCCCTCTTTGGAGAAGAAACATATTCAGCTCGATTTCGATGTGATGTTTACTGCTTTAGTTGATTTTCCAGAGGAACCAATAGGATTCAAGATCTTTTACACAAGAGAATCTATCAGTTTGCATGTAAGTTTTCTTATGCTGGATCTGCAACTTATTTCTAGTATATACGAAGGCAAAGTTCACATTGATGGGAATTCATAATCTTTTTACTTTGGTCATTTATGCGAAAAAACATGTCGTGACTGTTCTATATAAAAAGACGAGAAGGGAATCAATTGAACTTTTAGCTGCATGCAAGTGGAATTATAAGTTAGTCTTGAAATTGTTGAAATGCATACATGTCTCCTTGTTGTAAAAAGATTAGATCCGAGTATTTCTTTCTTTCTTGTGCATGTTGCAAAATATCCAATAAGAAAGCACTAAAGTATTCAACTCTTCGATTTTTCTTTCTACACAAGTCGTCACCAAATGTAGCTTGGAAGTAAGTTTGCTTGTGCTCAGGCTTTCGACTTATTTGTATTGCTTTGTGTGATTAATTAGCGTTGGTAATATTATCTACAGGGAGCACGAGCAAGTTGGCCTTCTAGTCTTCATCTGCTCTTCTACTGTCATTGTTTGATTGGTATGTTTTTCTTTTCTTCTGAACTTTGTCTCTGCATTTGGCATAGAATTATAGGTTGTGTGTGGTCTGTGATGTGATGATTTTAGATTCTAGAAACTGGACTAAATTTCCCCAATAATTCCTATTGATGGTTTGTGGTGAGACGATTTTTTTAGCATCAAGTGTGGTGAAATTGATTTAATTTGGACAATTGTTTGGCAAGATCTTTAATTTTTTTTGTTGAACAACCCAATCTGAACCTAATGATTTTTTATTTTGGGAGTAATATTTTACTATTTTGACACTGTATTTTGTAAAAGGTGCGTCATGGATAAAACATGGATGGATCAGCCTAGGTACATTATAAACCTATGACCATATATATATGGCTGTTAGTGACTAATCATCCTAGACCTGTATATGTATGGCTCTATGCACTGTGATCATCACTTGACCTGCTATATATATAATACCCGGTTGGTGTATGTATGGAAGATCTAATATATTATTTCTATAAAATCAAGTGCATCTGTTCAATGTGATGACTTCTATATAAACAACAGTGGATTTGTAAAATTATTCGAATTGTATTTATATCTATATCTGCAGTATAGTTTTGCCGATATTTTAGTTGTTGGATAGAGCATCATACACAAAATACCTTGGAAATGATTTCGCCACCACAAAAACTGTCGGCAAAAGTTTCAACCGGCGTAGGTGCCCCGTTTCGCTACACAAAAAGTGTCAGGGATTCCTTTAACTGTCGGTGAAAGTTTCACCGACGGCTTCTGATGCGACTGTTTCTAAACCGTCGGCAAAACCTTTCGAGGGAGGTTATCTGTCACTAAATGTACCCTTTACCCACTATAAAAAGTGTCGGCAAAGGTATGTCATGTTATAGTGTTGCTGAGGACGAGCAGGACGCACAAGGCGGCAACGACCACCTTTGAAGTGGCGGAACCAGCTGCTGAAGCCATGACGACGGATATGTTGGTGGTGGAGGACGTACCATCGGCCCAATGCAAAGAAAGAGATATTATATATAGCTAGCTAGCCGCAGGTATGATCCTCCTGCACCACAAATTAAAAGATGAAACCGGAAATCATGTTCATGCACGTCCTCTCGCAATTTACGGCCAAATAAGAAATCACATAATAGCAACTTATGACAAGAATAGGAAAATGCAAACGGATATCGCGCGGTGGAGGCAGCGTTCGGGGCACAGGGTGGGGTTCTTCTAGCTTGAATGATGTGCATGATGCGGATGATTTTGACCCTAGAATCTTCAATGAGCAAGAAAAGAAGGCTTGAGGAGAGATCTGGGCCATATATTTGTATGAAACTAGATTACTTTGGTACACTAGTATATTGCCCGTGCTAACGCTACGGTGTCATCTACTAAAAGTAACAAAATAATAAATGTACGCGCTAAACTCATGCTAAATGCATGTCTAATATTGACATTGATTCACTTATGTAGCATTGAACGGTTGAAAAATTACCTGAGGGCATGGCCGTGACCAAGAATAGTTCCCTCACCATTTGAATTGATGAAAGCAATTGATTAAAATACTCCTAGCAAGCACTTCCTTTCTTTACCGAAATAGCAAACAAGCAGCAGACATCAACTCAAGCTCCATCGATTCTTCCTTCTGTACTCTTTCTTCATGAGCACAGTAACTCGTCGGTAAGCCAGCACAAAAACAATCTATTTATGAATTTGACAATTATATGAAGACTGAAACTTCTTGACCAACCTTTAACAAAAATGAAGCCTTGTTTAGGTCCAGATCACTGCAGTTCGCCTGATCTTCTCGGTTAAAATTACCTGAACCACAGACAGCACCACTGACAGATATGATAGATAAGTTGATGAGAAAAGCTACTGTAAGGGCAAATGCACTTTCAATCGTATACAATCCGCAGACCTCCTGCAAGAGAGTGAATTGTTGGAAGTAAAAAGATGTTTAATCATCTGAAAATTGGAATAACACATTAGGTCAGTATAAGGAGAATTAGAGGTTACCTTAATCCCATGAACTGACCGATAATACTAATGCCGAGTGCAGAAAAAGAGTATGACTGCAATTTATGCGCAGAAGATAAATGAAAAAAGGTCATGTGTTGAAACTGAATGCTTGGAAACAAAAGCTTACGGCATCACCATAGCACCAAGTAATGAGATAGCAAGACCTGTAGCTCCATAGTACAAAGAGTAAACAACCACCTTAGTTGATAAGAAATTCCATGAGAATTCAACATTAAGCTAAAAGAATCAGTTGTGTGATCTGCTAGTTTGACAGACAATTTCTTACAATGAATTCCTACATGTTGATTAAGCCACATATTCCAACCAGAAAATCTAATAATCTGTTGTATAAACTTCCACCTGCATGGATTGGCGGCATCAACATATGCAAACAGAACCATATATATTACTCTAGAGGGAAAAAAAGTGTAATAACCAGATAGCTTAGATCACTTATGTGAGCAAGTGCCATGGGGAATCCAGCGCAGCTGCTGTCAATCAAATTGGAGTAAATTGAATTAAACCGTTGTTTCCACAAACAAATAGAAAAAAAAACTCAAGCTTACGGATGGACAGAATTCACAATGGATTTCAACGCAGGGTGTGAGAAAGGAATGACCTGGATTCTGGAGAAGATCTTGCAGGAAAGTGACGATCTTGAGAAGACCATGCAGGATTGTTCACGACGGCAACCGGACCAGATCGTCATGGATGGCTGGACGGGATCAACTTTTGTTGGCTGGAAACTTCCAGAAGGCCGGCGGCCATATGGATGGCACATGGGCGAGCTCGATCTCTGGCTGCGGTTCAGGAGAGCACGGCTTCGTGACGAGGTCCCAAACTCGATGGGCTGGTTCTTGGCTGCAGAAACGGATCCACGGCAGGTCCTTGCCAACAGGGAGACGGCGGCGGAACAAACCACGCACAAGATAGAGAGAGGGAGAGCCCGGCGCAGCTTCAGGGGTGGCTCCTCACCTCCGCGCGAGCTCGGCGGCTCGGTCCTCGTTGGTTGAAAGGCGGCGGCCGGCAGAAATCCGCGATGGAGGATCGAGGAACTCGGCCGCGGCTGCGCGTGCGGACGAAGAGTAGGGGCACGGGCTCTGCAGATGCGTCGCGTCTCCATGTGAGGCAAGAAAGGAGAAGACGGTGGCGCCCCGACCACCGTGCGCCCCACCGTGGCGTCGCCTAGCTGGGGAGAGGGGAGAGGGGGAGTCGCGCGTGGCCGCGTGGGGCGGCAGAGCGGAGAGGTGGAGTCGCGGGTGTGGGATGGGACGGGTGCCGTGGTCCCGCGTCGCTGGGGCCGGGGGCGCGGGGGCAAGGCACATCTAAAGAAGCCGCACGGTCGGATGTGGTCGAGGAAGGAGCCAGAATGCGTGAGAATTAATCTGGTGAGCATGTTTTTAATGTAATCTTTATCTATATATATTTTGTGGAGTGAACATAGTCTAGGTTGTACTGTAGATGTGGGATTTGTTTAATTTAAAATGGTATATTATAGGGGTGGAGATAGAGATAAATTTGGGTGGACTTAGATTAGACATGGCTGTAGGGGTGGTTGAGTGGGTTGATTTAGTAAAGAAAATTTTGGTGTATATCATATAGGGGTAAAGATGAGGCTTAGCCCAACCAATAAGTGGTCAAACTTTTTTTTCCTGAACTATTTATGTGTGCCGAAATATAGCGAAGTCTTTTTTTATCCTATAAGAAGAATAGGCACATGACATGAGTTTATCCCGTCAAAAACAATTGCACAATAGAAAAACCATCTAGGTGGACATAATCAAAATTTGTATGCATGTGCTTGATAGTTGAGTTGGTCTGGTTCTCGTGTTCTATTCTTTGTTGGTTGTCATGTTATTTCCATTTGTTTTGTTTGCGTGTGGGGATCGCTGCTAAATCATGTCCAAAATGGCATGCATGCATGCGTAGTTTTATATATATGCAGAGCACTTATATATGTCGCCGAAGCTGAATATAGTGCATGTTGTAGTGAAATCGATTCTTAGATAACAATAGTTTCTCATTAACATTTTACATATGGGAAAAATAAACTTTTTGATTCACAAGCCACAAAGAATCTGGTAATCCGTACTCCCCGTTCGCTTGGAGGAATTTGGAGAAATCTGAAGGAATTTATGAGAGGAAAGCACTATTCCGGATGAAAAAAGAAATGGATCAAGTCGGGTTTAAGGGCACGCGAACGAGGCCAACGTGTAGTTCGGCGGCATGAAGTGGCAGATCTGCTCCTCACGCGTGGCACTCAGCATCTCGAAGTAGCGGGCGTCCCAGCTCGTGGTGTTGGCGTGGCACATGGCGCCAACCCAACTCTACGGTTTTCTCTACCTTTAAACAAGAGCATTTCCAAGAGTCTCCAAAACATACTAAATGTAGATTTTTCAGCAAGAATGACAAAAACTGCTCTCCAATAACTCTTGATCTCAACTCACAATCTTTCTGCACTTGGAAAAATCGATCCAATATCGACATGCAAATTTGGAGGTAGAAGGGATGTGGAAAGAATAAGGAATAATACAGGGTCCTGATGTAAATTTACGAGAGAAGGAAAATAAAGTATAAAAGTAGTTAAGATGATTTAGTTCAGAATTTCTGATGCAAAATTGTCTTGTATATTTCTGATGCAATTGAAACGAAAATTAGACCGTTGATTGCTGAAAAGATAAGCTCGAAGTGAGTAACTACCACCTCCTTTAATTTCTCCATACATTCTCAAGGAAAAATACTATTCGCTCGTTGAAAAAGTACGGATTATAAGCCAGAGACGACCTTCAGTCTTGTGGTGATCAATAGATAGTCTCCCTTACGCAGGATCGGATGCAGTGGTCACTGTTTGGTCAAAATGTTCCTCTCAACTACGGCTAGCCTCCATGTGGACATGACATGCATGACATCCCTGTCCGGCTGACTGGAAAAACAGCTGATGCCGATGCTGATTTGTTATGAATATAAAATATTGTAATTTTGCTAAAAAGATAGAGCTAATAAGTTCAAGCGAATCGGGGCCCTCGTCTACCAATCAAGCCAAATCACTGTCGGTCATTCAACCGGTGGCAAGGCATCCGGTGAGGCCTCATCAACGGGCGACGGACAAGCAGGATACGACTTGGATCGCGCTTCATATATTGCGTCTATATATTTTTTGAGCAGAATATATTGCGTCTATATATAATACGTGGGCTATAGACCATTGGGCCAATTTCCATGAATACTAGACCGGGCCAAAACATTTGGTGGCCGGTGCTTTGCCTTTGTGACCCAAAAGTCCCAGATCCGAAGCCCACGTGGGGACTCTAAAATCCAGAGAGCCTATAGTAAATTTATTCCACTTTCCTCAAAAAACAAAAACTATTATAAACATCCACAATCCTCTCAAACACTCTGTCCCAAACGAATTTGCAATTCTAGCTTCCAATTTTTTTCCCTAAAAGAACGCAATCAAGCTAGGTCATGATACAGTGGAGTTTGTTTCCTTTTGAAACCGCGCGTGCGATATCTACCTTGACTAATAGACCGCCACGATAAGAACAGATTAATTAGGTTCGCGGGCGTCATTTTACCTCAGCACTTAACTATCATAGAATTTGTAGAATTGGATTCATTTTGGGATCGAGTGAGCATTAAACATCAGTCGTGAAAACTCTGTTCTAGCTCATCTAGTGCACTACCTACCACGTTATTATTTTTTTTTCTAAAAAAACAGCTAATACATTATCAGTGTGTTTAAGGGCACTCCCAACGCTATATGTGGTTAGGATAATAATTTCCCGTACCATTTAATATGGTGGCCCACGTATGACATTTTACTGATGCGACAACAACATTAATAAAGAGGAGAAAAAAATAAAAACTACAAGAAATATGGTCTTACGCAAAGAAACTAGGTCTTCCATAAAAACAAAAAAGGAACTATATATACGGAAGGGCTAACGCCCGGAGGTCTGGTGGCCCAGCCATAGGAGGCGTCCGGACGCTGCTCACGTTCGAATGCATCGCACCCGCCACACCTACGTAACAAAGCTGTAACAAATAGGAGCGCGCCCGCCTCACCCCACCTACGGATGCGCGCCACGATGACCCACGGCGGTGTCCCAGCAGCATTAGCAAGCGGCTGTGGCACAATGCTGTCCCCCAGCCACCGGGGCCATTGCAACATGTGTTCCCCTGGATGTATTTTTGAAACATCTAGTTGAAACATTTGCAACATACTACTGAAAATAGATGATACACTTGAAACATACGCTTGAAACATGCGTGTATAGCCATAACAACATATACAACGTTCCATATCTACTTTTGCAACATTCAGATGAAACAATTGCAACATACGTTTGAATTGAGACACTTGAAACATGTGCTTGAAACTACATGTTATGCAATATCCAGATATACTTCTGCAACATTCAGATGAAATACGTGAAACATACATCTGAAAACAACTGAAACACTTGAAATATAAACTTGCAACATGCGTATATTGTCATTGCAACATCCCAGGATCTACTTTTACAACATCCGAATGAAACACTTGAAACACAACGTCGTCGGCCTACCTAGTGGGGAACTACGTACGGTAGCCAGCAAGCTCACTGTCCCTCCTCCCCCAGCCTCCCCCGCCCCCAAAGCCCCTCCTCCTCCTCCTCCTCCTCCTCCTCCTCGCTCTCGTACGAGGGCGAGTACCGCGCCACGAGTCTCATCAGCAAAGCCCGCGCCCACAGCCTGGAACAACACCGATGAGGAGGGGCCCGGGCGTGGAAGGCAGCGCTGGGTCGAAAAGACACATAGGACACTGCTGGCATGAGGGTGAAGCCTACGGCGACATCAACCATGGCAGCGGTGGTCGGGCGTGGGCACGGCGGCATGCCTTATCTGCTTGAAAATGAATGAGTGGAGTGGAGGATGACCCTCGATGGGGAGTGGGAGAGATATTTTTGAGAGAGAGAGCAGGTGTTGTTGGGCTGGTAGCACGCAGGTCCAGGAAGCGTGGCGTCCGAACGGACGGGACGCCCTGAAGAGAGCATTCCCGATATAAAATCCATTAGAATGGGCATCATAGATATTGAGACAGAGACAATAAGGCAGTGATGAGGAAGATGATTGGTAGAGATATGACAAAAATGATTGAAGAGATTTATTTTGTAGCTTCAATTAGATTGTGTAAGTTATAATTCCTTATTAGTGATGCCTATACGACATGGTATGTCACAAAAACCACTAAGTATAGTTTCTTTTTTAAACTGCCTAATGAAACTTTTTTTAAAATACATCTTTTATATTTTGATATGATTCCAAATAAGGCCTTGTTAAATTTGGATAAAATTTGGCTATCTCTGCTGCTGCAGCAGATAATTGTGAAAAAATACTATTCCTTATTTGAAAAGTAGTGCCGAAAAAAGGCGTAAGATAGAGCATTGGTCTTTTCATGCACAAACTCAGGCCCTAGTCCTTGCATTTTTAGGACATCGATCCGCTGGTCATGTACCTATACAATGGGACTCGCAAATGTCGTCAGCCACGTTTTGGCAAATTTCTTTGCATTGCTCCTCCGTCAACTTCTTCTCCTCCGCCATGCCATTTGGGTGGCTAATCTTGAGGACGAGCAGATTTACAATGGCGGTAAGTGGCCACCTTTTGAAGCGAGAGGAACCATTGCTTTGAAGAATTTAGCTATTTGGTTCCGCCACTTCAAAGGTGGTGACGACGGATATGGTGGTGGTGGCGGACGTACGATCGATGCAATGCAAACAAGGAGATATTATATATAGCTAGCTAGCCGCAGGTACAATCCTCCTGCAACCACAAATTAAAAGAGGAAACCGGAAATCACATTCACGCACGTCCTCTCACAATTTACTACTGTAAGGAACCCTGACGCCTTAGAGAGAGGGTGAATTAGGCAACTTAAAATTATACTCTAACTATAGCCTCTAATTTCACCTTAGCAAAACCTATGCAAAAAGTAATGTATCTAAATGTGCAACTATGGTTTTGCTAAGTG